GAGGTAGCGGATGATAGAGGGTGGTCTGAGGGTGAGGTGAGAAGAGAAGAACAAGTGCCCTTGCATGAATCGCCGGGAGAGGGTCGCTGATCTGTGTGGTGGGGTATATTTTCCTTCGGAGAGTCGTTTTCTCGGCTGCGTGCGCACGACTCGGCAAAAAGCGCGATATACGTAAGCCGTGAGGGGAGGGCAGTTTTACCTAGCCCTCACTCGTACTTTAGAGACGACGAGGGATTCGTTGGGGTGGTCGTTCTCACCTCGATTTTCTGCGAAAATGGAGACACAGGGAGGGAGTGTGACGGAGATAAGAGAGAGAGAGAGAGAGAGAGAGAGGTAGAAGTAGAAGTTCGTGAGTAGAATTCTCTGGCAATACTGGGGCTCTGTCCTTCTTTTTGTATCTCATTCCTGGTCTGTAGGATCGAGAATAGCAAGGCACCACCACAGCCTGTTAATATCCCTTTTGACCACGACCTAGATGAGGTGCTGTTAATTCCTGTGGCAATAACGATTCTGCTGATTTACCAATGAGCGTACTTTTATATTGGCTTTTTAGGAGTGCCGGGGGAAGGGAAAGGAAAAAGAAAAACCAAGACATCTTCTTTTTCCAAGCTAATGTGAAATTCATTCGCCATCTAAGCAACTTACGATTTTTCTCTAATTTTATTATATACCGGAAACTATTATATAGAAAATATAGAAAAGTCATTTTTTTCTTTCTTCGTATATGATTTATTTATTATCTATTATGATGGCTACATGTATAATAAAATTAATCGAATATTAAACCTATTGTTCCAATCTCATTATAATTTTACATTTGCATTCGTAAAATCTATTTAATAATCACAATAGCATAATAATTAACTCGTGCTTTTTAAATTTTAGTACATTATTATTTTGCACCAAATATTTCATGATATTGACGTTGAATTACTTACTCTAACAATCATAAAATTAATGGGTAAAAAATTATTAGTCCCTAATTATCGTGACAATGTAAAATTAAATAAATATACGACACTTTTATTATGTCGTTCTATGAAAAATATGCTAATTTCAAATGATTGTGCTTCGTGTAAAAGGAAATTAGTAGAATGACATTACACATTTGAATATAATAATAATAATCCCTGATAATTGAAATAAGAACGATAACTTTATTTCAATATATTTTTATACAAAATTACAAAAGTATACGGATTTCATACAGATTTAAAAAATAATCTTCAATATTATACGAAGAACGATATTTAATTTGCCATTAAAATGGCATATTGAATTACTCATTGATCCGCGTATAAATAATAGCGGCATATCATCACCACGTAATATATGTAATGTAATAATAGATAGTTGTAAATAAAATCCGATTTCATAGTCTATGAGTACGTATAATAATACATATGCTATGAGGCATTATTATATTAACAACAATAAGAGAAACATTTGAACGCATTAGGGTCGCGTGCAATTTCGTATGCTTAACCATCAAAGAATATAATAGTCTAAAGATAATTAAAACCTATCTGTCTCTATCTATCTCTATATCTATCTCTATTTATCTATCTCATCTATCTATATATGCATCTCCCTCTTACGAGGGCTTAAATCAAGTCACTGCAATTATAAATCCATCGCAACGCACTTAGAACAATGACCAAACGGCCGCTCGTAAAACGGCTTTAAGCGATGCGACGGGCAACTTGCGGCTAAAATTCAGGCCAATGTGGTTGGTTAAGCGCTCTTGCGCTTATTAACTTTACATCGACTTATATGGCTTGATGTTTCCCGGGAGTGAGATCGCTAATCGACGTTAACGTAAATTTCATTCGCGTCGTATTTATCTCGTTAACGCGCTCGCACTCCCAGAAGACGTCTTCCTCTGCATTATGTAACCTCGCAGACTCTTCACCTCTTTACCCCTGGCGAAAGTCCGGCAATGCGTATGTCGAGGTAGAAACGAGCTGCCACCGACCCCTCCTCATATCTCTCATACCACGATTCGACAACTCAACGTGGCAATGCGCGTGATGTGTCATGAGATCCTACCAATGGAAGGCGATTCTTTTGGGAAATGATTTTTCATTTATATTTCGTGCATACGTAACACCAATGGGATGTTCATGGGATGCCAAGTGTTTTTTGAAAATTTTATGTGACGTAGCATTGAGTACTTACCCAATACTCGTTGTCAATTAGTGAAAAAATTCGTAGTATTTCATATTGAAGATAGAGAAAAAAAAGTCGTGCTTTTCTTATATTCGTGGGAGAGAAAAGTTCAAAAAGAAAAAAATAAATTAATTAATTAATTAATTAATTAATTAATTAATCAATTAATGTAACGGCGCAAATAGTAATAATTAAATAAAATACGACTGGACAACTAATCCTATCGTACACTATTTCACTCATTTCGCGATAAATATGGAAAATATTATTTTGCAAAATTAACATTAACTTTCTTTTCCGCTATTGTCGATTATTTATTTAATATTTTAGAAGTTTTATGTTTAAATTAAAAATATGCTACTTATGAATGATCTGCAGAATATGAAGATGCGTTTCAAAGATTTTGTAATTAAAAGTTATTTTTTAACGGATGAACTTCATTTACGCACATAATAAATATTACCAATATAATAAATAATAATAAGTACTGTATTTTTAACTCGATTGTTCATGTGTATTTCTGTATTTCTTAAAATGAAGTGTAAATCCAGTTTTTTTCGTGTACGTATACATGTAGATATGTTGCATCTTTGAATAAAAGTAAAAACTTGAAAATAGATGTAGACAATTGCGAATACCAAAAACACACTATAGAATAACGATTGAAAGGAAGATTATATACAATGTAAAAGAAGAATGGTGTGATAAAAGAGAAAGAGATAGTGCAAAACTCACCAATCTTATAATGTTTAAGAAAAGCTTATACAACGATATATAAATTTTATAAAAGATAATAAATGACAAAATCAGAAGAAATTATGAAAAAAAAAGAAAAATAATTAAAAAATAAAAAAAGAAAAATTTTTGAGTAAAGAGTGAGAGGTTAACATTGAATCCTTTAATTACATTTGTATGCTTAGAGATTCTATAGCAACTTTTTGTCGCTAGGCCGATGTCTCGATGCACTCTGATCGTTAATTAAAACAATTGTAAACTCGTTCAATTTCTCAATTTGATTTATTCTATCATATACGGTGGATCATAAATTTTATTGGCTGACCCTAATAACACATCCTGCTTTTCAAAATTGTGAAAATTTCCTCTAAAGCGCTTAAACCAGTCGAGACATCCTTTCACGTATGCTCGAGCGATCGATAACCTCCCTTTGAGAAATAATAATAGATGATTAAGTAAATTCAATCAAATAAACATTCTAAGTGAACACCGAATGCCTATTATAGATTGCGGATTGTGAAGTTTTCGAAGAACTAAAAAATTTATTCGATTTATAAGCAGTGCCTTTTCAATCTCTGAAATCACTTGTTGCAAATTCACCATTCCTACCCCTTCTATTTAAATGCTAATAAAATTGATTTATATTGTTTGTTTCCCCCCCGCCCCTTTTTTTTTTTTATTTTTATTTTTTTTTATTTTTTTTTTTTTTTTTTTTTTTTTTATCAATTTGAAAGTATCGTGTTCACTCAAATGGTTTCGTATTAATCTTTTATTCTTTAGTTAAAAACTTTGGACTTCAAAAGGAACGCGTCAAATAAATTCTGAAAGATAAAAAAAAAAAATAAATTAGAAAAAATTCAAATTAAGCCAAAAAGAAAAGAAAAAATTTGTCACTACAAATTTTTATTCTAATTCTTTGGGAAGTCAGATGAGTAGTTTTTCTCCGTTTCAAGATTATAGAATAAATTATACAGATTATGATAGGATTTGATATAGAGTAGGGCATAAAAATTCTTACACGTTACGTTTTTTGGTCATCATTTGCTTTACTCATTCTTATACCAAAGTTTTTTTTAAGACTTTCAGCTCTAATACATTAAATAAATTATCCATCCGTTTATCTGTGTATGCGTCACTGATAATATTACCATTTATAAAACTTTCCAACTATCTAATTCAGATACAACGGTCCGATTGGCAGAAAATTTTCTAAAATCCTTGAAATTTTGCTTTATATTTCTATTGAAAAATTACAATTATGTGAGGAAGCTATATTATGTTATTAAAAATTTTCTACACACGTTGAAAGTATATTTAGGTTCGATAGAATCGTTTCGACGCTATGAATTCGATGACTATGGAAAAAAGAGAAAAAATCGCTGATAAATATAATCCTCTTAGCTGACAATTTTATAATTTTTTATCCTTTCATTAAAATCAAATGCTAATCTTACTTTATTATTACTATTATGTCTCTGTAGTTGTATATACGCTCGTTGTGTATTATTCAGTAATCTTGTAAAGAACCATCGCTTACCGTAGCAATTTTTCAATGACTATAGAATGCCAAATAAGAAAAATAAAGACGAGATGGATTGATTGGCTTGGTTCGGACGATAATTTATACTCTCCATAATGGAAGCGCAAAAGCTCTATTACTAATAGTTACGAAATTATTAGATTACGTAAATTATTCGATACCAATTGAAGATTTAAAGATAAATGTAATTAATGTACTATTAATGCGCTGTAAAATCTCCCCAAACGTTCATAATTCGTATGCGAACATGTCCAAAAGTGCATGCATTTATCATTCATTAGCACAAGTTCCTCTCCCAACAAGCACGTCTGTCATGTTAATTTTCTTATAGAGCTCGAAGTGAGTATCGAAGTAACTTAACGGGTTTAAAAGATCGCTAATCGATCGTAAAGTCTCGATGAGATGTCAGGTTAAGAGATCGAAGCGAAAGAACGAGACGAAGGTATTGTCGCGGTAGAAGGGCGCTAAAGGAGAAAATGCCGCAGGGCTTGAGGCGGTATTGTATTATAATCTCGCAACGGCATTCTAATGGCGAGTGCGAACGGCTTGTATTTAGGTGCGGCGGTGGCGAGGGTGGGATCATCGCCGAGTCAAGTCTGATCGACGACACCCTCAACGGGAATCCCCACTCGGAGATCCCGAGGGCCGAGGAGCGGCCGGCGCCGAGGCAGGCGCCCGCCACCGACGCCCCCGACGACGACAACGGCGACACCATTGTCAGAAAGTACGTTTGCGCTGCTCCGTCAGATTATTATAATCTTCACTGCCATGATTGTGTATATCGCAAAGTGCTCCTCGCGCACCTCTTTACACTCTACCACGAGTATGCATTATTCCTTGGCCTTTTATCCTTTCTCTCATTACTAGCGCCTCCTTCTTTTCGCAGCCATTTTCATTTTAAATATTCTTGCCTATGGTTAAAACACTTTCAAGCATAACCAGATATTATGATTTTAAATATCACTCCAATTGATAAAGTGAATGGAGCCACTTTGTGCTATTGAATTATTATGTAGTCGATAGCTTTAACATATAGAACAGCAGTTACTTACACGTGATGCACATCTTTTTATTTCTATTCGCGTTAATCGTAAATAAATTAATAGCTATTCTATTACATTTTTAGAGACATTGTATGTCAATGCACATTTTTGATAAAGTAATGCAACTACAAGTATTACACTGTGTATCTCTCTCAGACTGTTCTATTACTTTTATTTATCTGCATCTCGAAATGTATTACAAAGTTCGTAGATCTCTTATACGTACATTCATACGCACATGTTTACAAACATGCATATGCTTGATGCATACAGGAGAGATGGATAGATAGAGAGATAGAGAGAGAGAGATAGAGAGAGAGAGAGAGAGAGAGAGAGAGAGAGAGAGAGAGAGAGAATAGACCCCTTACAAACAAACGCGAGCACGTATTCCATGTACGCATTCGAAAAGTCATCATTATTTTGAAAAAAAGTACAACATTTGTCATTTATGAACTTTGTATTACACGTAATTTTTAAACTTTCTACGCTTTTTATAAACGATTAATTTCGTATTGTAGAGGGTAGAGGCGTGTAGCTTGCATATTTGAACGTCGAGCATTTTTATTTAAATCCAAGAGACGTTGTTAAAACTTCCATTGTTATATTTCAATCGTACGTATGTATGTATCGCATATAATATAGTTAAGCTCGCCTCACATTGGCAGTTATCTTTGTCATTATTGCTTGGTACACACGCTTAACACATGTCCATGCTTCCATGGTACCTGGCAGTGATTTACGGAAGAACTGATTGTCGAAACTGATGTGACCTTGGCTACTTTTTCTTTTTAGTTAAAATCTCCTCTCCTTCCTTTTGCACTGACTATCCCAATCCAACGTGCAGATCTATGTTTTATATTTATGAATTATAATTTTCAAATATATATGCAAATTAATAATAAATTTAATTATAATTATTGTTTCTTTAGCAAGGAATTACACTTATTTTTACACTTATAAATAATGAATTGGATGTGAAATTTAACAACCGTTTTCCCATGCGTTTCACTGCTTTTCTAAAAATCTAATGCAACAAGCAAAATAAAATACAAATTAACGTACATCTATTTTGTATAATTATAATTTATAATTAAAACATTTATTATTCGAATGGTCGAACACAAACATGATTATCTTCACATTTTTTTTTTTTTTTTTTTTTTTTTTTTTTAAATGTCGAAATAAATTAAAAATTACAACATCATCTCGAGCAAATAATAAAATAATATACGGAAAGTAGGAATATAATGTTAAATATTAGAGTCGCTATCATTAAAATATTATCTGGCATTTACAAATATTTATAGGTTAATTAATTTAAAAGACAGGATTTTAGTTTTATTCAATTTTACATTTGTAATATTCATGTTCTAAAAATACAATTGAAATAATATAGCAAAATAATAAAATATTTCGAGACGATCGATTAAAATTTTCTCCTTTATTCTATTCAACGAGAGCATGCAAATTGGAATTTTAATGATAAAATATGTTATGAATACTTCTATCTGCACAAATGCCATATATATTTATAACATTTTATGACTTGAATACAATAGGTATAAATACAAAAATTTATATAAGTTAAAAAAAAATACTTTAAATAATTGTATTCATAAATATACATAAATAGAATCTCATTTAATTAATTAATCTGTTAAACTAAATTAATATATGTTATTGCGTTACGTTGGATTTTCTTTCTTTGCTTGTTTTGTTTTTTGTTTTGCTTTTGTTTTTTGTTTTGTTTTTGTTTTTTGTTTTAACGATAAAACTTAAAACACACAGGTCGTATATAGAATTCTGAGAATTCTGATTCACTAGAATGGTTTAATAAAAAGCAGTAAGATATTTTTTTAGTATCATTGTCCTTTGACACATGAATTTCAAAATTAGATGTTTTACAGCAAAGATATTTTGCGATTATTTCGGAATAATACATTTTTTATTCACAAAACGCGCGGTTCAAATTAACGAGCATAAAATCTGTCGTCATTACAAGCATTTAGATGTAAAAATGTTCTTTACTAATGTCATCGCGGGAGTTTTTTTAATAATAAAATCTAATTTCTCGAGTCGTCGTTTAATCTGTGCTTTAAAAATATTGATATCGTTTAGTTAAAGTACGGTTATATCAACTGCTTAATTAGACACCTTCAGTCACGAGAGAATGTCTACATATGTGAATGCAACCCATGCAAATTTGCCGCTTGCAGCTTTGAGGTGCGCGCGTCAAAGTGAAAAGTGAGAGAGAGACTCTCTGTATTCCCAGGAAAGCATCCACTACAACGAATTAACTCTATGACGCGACTGAACAAACCTTCATTTGTAAAGGGCCGGACAATATTTTACAATAATGTTTTGGTTTGCAAGTACAATATTGTTATGTTGTTATATTGAATTTGTGATTCGTAGAGACTCGTATTTGTAGAAACAAGAGAACAACTAATTTATGATTTTACAGAATTATAAATGCTTGCAGCTTCAATTCATGTTTATAACTTTTCAGACGCAAATAACACTTTTAATTAATATAATTGTATCGATCGTATTATTAAAATAAGGTATTATTAAAGGCAGATAGATGTTAGATTTCAGTGCATTATTCATAAAAAAAAAAAAAAAAAAAAAAAAAAAAGTAATAAAGGATATCATATTAATTTTAATTAGATTCTATTTATTCATCTTAACATTAATGAAAATTTATAATTATAATTTTATTCATGGTCATAATGATGGTAATTAATATTAAATATTTAATCTAACTATGGATATAAAATGTTTACGTTTGGAATGTGCGAAAGTATTCTCTATTCATTAAATAATTGTAATATTTAATTACGTGTTCCCAACTTCTGCTTCAGTACGAGATTTGTTGAAAATATCGAAGCAAGTTTATTAATTACATTTCATGCTTTATATTATTAGGTTGAAATTTTGTTGAAACATTCACGCAAATAAGTATTTGAAATCTTGTATGGTTTTATATTGGAAATTAAGTTAATAAATCATGGATATTTTGCTGGGTGAAAAAAAAAAAAAAATTATTATCATAAATTATATAAATTTAATTATTAATTATTTTGGTAAATTGATGTGTTTTACGTCAAAAGTAGCTAATGGATTCTTTGAAAGAGCGTTCAATCATTTACAAAAACAGTTATAGAAATTAATAGATTGAATGAAAAGTTTCTTCGATATATCAAAAATTTACTAGTTTAATAGTTGTAATATATTTCAAACCTTAGCACGCTCTAATAAGAAAAATAGAAGTAAAACTTGTTAATTAATCATTTCAACATAAAAATATCTGAATATTTAGAAATTAGACGTGTTTCATTATAAATAAATTTCATATCCTTTCATTCGTTCGTGCTAATAATTAGTTGAACATTGATTTATACAAGATAGATTTATTGAAGCAAGTAAACGTATTCGTTATTTACAAAGACAACTTTAATGTTAATAGTCCTTAATTTATTTGTCATCGAAATTTTACGATTAAAAGTAACGCTATTGAAATATAAAATTGCATATATGATAAAAATTCAGTTTATAGATATACTTGAAATATTTGTATTATTGATGTATTGAATATATTGAATGATTGCTGGAGAATTGAAAGACAATTGGGTACATTGAACATCAATAATTCTAATAAGATATAAATTCTAAATGAAATATTCCTTTAAAATAACAGTTTATAATTTACATTATGTAACGAGTAAGTTGGTGCATGATCATAAGATAACTGTCCTAATGGCTTGAAATAAATGGACAAAAAGAAAGATTGACCGCGAATTTACGAGCGCTTGGCATGTATAAGAGTGTATGAAATTTTGTTTTGTGTACAGCTACTGCGAGAAGCCCGAAAGTGTAACGACAGAGATGGGCGGTGTGCCACACGTGGAGGGGATAAATAACGAGCTGTACACGAGTCTCCCGGTGAAGCGACGTCAACCCAAAGACAAAAGCGTCTCATTGCAGCAGCAGCAGCAGCAGCAGCAGCAGCAGCAGCAGCAGCACCAACATCACCACCAACATCACCACCACCACCATCACCATCAGCAACAGCACTTGCAGAACAATATCGGGAACCCGGACAGGGGGTTGCACGAAAATTCCATCGACTCCGAGGACAAGGATGAGAATTTGCCACCTGGTTGGGAGAAACACGAGGGTGAGGCTTGCCAATATATATTTTTTGCCCTGGGCTATTTAGCTCTCGGAAGTGAAGCTTCACGTCTGTCGTTTGCCTCGTTTAAGCTACTTCGATTCTATTCTATTAAAAGACGATGCAATCGAAAATATTGAAATTGAGCGTTTTTATAGTGGCTCCCATGATAAATTAGCACGCGAAATGTTAAACGTAAAAGAGACTTTGTGAGAGAGTTTTCTCGATATTATAATATTATTATTATAATAGATTTATTCGAGCACCTGCAGTCCCTGGATTAATATCGATTTCGTTTTTAACAATAACAGGCACATAATTAATATTTTAAATTCAATATAATTATTACATTTAAAAGCAAAAATTTAAAAAAAAAAAAAAAAAAAAAAAAAAGAAAAATTTCCATATAAATGAATTGTTTACTTGTAGTGCAAGAAAAATCGATCCTTTATGTTTATGTTTATGTTTTATGAAGAAAATGAGTTTTTTCGTAATACTGAAAAAAAAAAGAATTTACAGTAGCAGCAGCAGCAGCAGCAGCAGCAGCAGCAAAAAAAAAAAGAATAAAGAAAAAAAAAGAAAAAAACGACCAATGAGTTACAGAAATATTACTTGAGATAAAAGATTTGGCAAATACAATAAATTTGCACAAAATCATGTGTGCGAAGCTTATACCTAAGGCAAATATAATTTCAAGTCAAAGATTAAATACCCCTGAGTTTAAATTCTTTCACGCTAATCCTATACTTGGAATATAAAATAACGACAGAGAAAATAAATAAAAACAATTTCGCCCAATACATAAATATATAATTCACCTTTTAACTTTTAACTTATTTATTATGAAAAATCGAATAATTAAAATGAATAAAACGCGATTTAAGCCATGGGATGTATATTTGAATTGTAATAATATAATATTGACGTAAATGAATTGTAATTGTCGTAAGGAAGTAATATAATTGACCATTGAAATAGACTGTATAGATAGTATACGGAAAAGAACTTTTTCGTATTGATGTGTGCGTGTTGTAAAACATTGGCATTAGGAAGAGTAGTTATTTGAAAATGATTGTCAGCTACACGCGAATCATTGTTAAAAATCTTAATAAATAATTAAAACCTCGGAGATATTAAACCATCGTTAATTAGTAATTATTAGAGACAGTTTTTACCAATGTAATCGGAAATTAATGCTTATGATGAATAGTAGCGAAGCGTTTATATTTCGTAGAAGTCGGGTCGTATATAAATAATTTAAATGACTAAAGGTACGCTTCACTTTTAATCGGACATAAAATTCAATTTATGTGAAAAAAAAAGGTGAAATATTATTTTTCTTACTTGTTTTCTTCATTTAAAGCAATATTTTATTGGATTTTCAGACAAAGATGGCCCGTATTATTGGCACATCAAAAGTGGCACAATTCAACGAGAGCCACCAGAGGCTCGTATTTCAAAAGTCGAGTCACGTAGAAGCTTCGTTAAAGATAACGATAGCGTAAGTTTTATATTAAATAACAAAACAAAACAAAACAAAACAAAACAAAACAAAATAAACAAAAACAAACAAAAACATAAACAAAAAATGAGAAAATAATAAGATGAAAAAATAATAATAATGACACGCGCGCGCGCACACACACACACGCACGCGCACACTTTGACACAAGCTGCTATCAAGTCATTTTGCAATGTAATGTGTACGATATGCTTCTATAACTTATGGGATACGGCAGTTGGCATTACTTTAATTAAAGCTTAATTAATTTCCACGAATGGCAATGATAATATCGATCATTAAATAAAACAAATATTTACGGCAAAGTCAAAGCATTGATGCTGGAAGGTGGATGATTAACGAGAGTGAGTTAGCGTGAGGCAGGTGTTTTCCTAAATCGCGCGACTACTCTACTAAATCTTCTTCAGATAAACAACTTCAACTCGCTGGGCTGCCTAGTCAACACAGTGACGCGAAGTAACACAAGTTCCGCTTTGGACCAAGAGCTCGAGAACAAGAGGAAAGAGGAGCTAGCGTTAAAGTGAGTAATATTTTATAAAATATTTCCTCTGATTCAATTGAATTACTGATGAGAGATCAATGATGCAAATGGCGCGCGCACGCAGAATCGCTTACTATGAAATGCTGTCGGAAATTGTCCTCAGGCGAAGGAGTTATCCGGCGCGTGCGGACTCGGAAGACAGGAATAAGCCAATAAGGTTCGCGGTTAGATCGCTTGGCTGGACGGAAATCGCAGAGGAAGATCTCACGCCGGAAAGGAGCAGCAAGGCTGTCAACAAGTGTATTGTCGACCTGTCACTCGGTCGGAACGACCTGCTTGATGTCGTCGGTCGATGGGGCGATGTGAGTTAAAGATTCGCGTTTAATTGATTGGAATGCCCTTTGTGCCGATAGGATTCATTGCGCGTCACTGCTTGCATAATCCACACCGACCTCGTATAATCATCATTGTGATTTGAAATCGATTTGGACAATTTCGTAGCGTCAATTTGATTTCCACTCTTTGAAGCTTTTAACCTTTCCATAACTTGATCGAAGCATGAATTATTTTATCGTTATAAACGTAAATATGATAGGCTTTTCAATTCATCCAGTGGGAGATTTAATAGTAATAGCATCAAGTGCCAAATTGCCCAAACGAATAGTACTCCAAATAGTACTCCAAAGCTAACAATTTAACCAACAATTTTACATCTTATCGTACGAGTAGAGCAGCATAAAATAAAATATTACCATTTTGTAGGACAATGGAGTGTGAGAATTGTAATTGGAAAGGATCGAGCTATTTTCTTTTGACTAACTAATGATTTTTTTTTTTCTTTTTTTCTTTTTTTCTTTTTTTCCATTCGACGTTACATTCCCTTCTAATCGGAAATTCGATGGGACACGACGAGTAGTTTTGTTTGAGAATAATGCTTAAGGCAAATATCGATCTTCCATAATGAATTTCCATTAAATATGTTGATAATAGTTTTTGTTACGTTACGTAGTCAATGTGGTCTTGGGAAAAGAAAAGAAAATGATAACGAAAGGCAGATGTATCGAATGTAAAGAATAACTTTAACGAGTACTTTTAAAAATTGTCAATATTCATCGGCATTTCTATTATCGCTGAGCCTGTTTTTATAAAAATTTTCTGCTCCTTCCGATAAAAATATATTCTCAAGTTTTATAATAAACTATTGGTTTAAAACATTATAATTATATGATTAAAAAAGTTACGTGGCCTTGATTACACACGAGCAAACGATTAATTATTACATTAATTATTAAATTATGACTGTACTTGTGCAAAATTTTTCATCCGAGATTTTCTTTTACTTTTTCTTTTGTTAACTAAATAAAAGATCGTACTTTTTAGGGTAAAGATTTATTCATGGATCTGGACGAAGGGGCTTTAAAGTTAATCGATCCCGAAAATCTTACGGTTCTCAATACACAGCCAATTCATACCCTACGAGTTTGGGGTGTTGGACGAGATCACGGAAGGTAATATATCTATTTTTGATTTTGGTCATAGTAATTGTGATACTTATTCTGCCGCAACGACTACATTTATGAAATAAAATATCTAATAAAGTGACTTAATAAATAATTTCAACTAATTAATGTGTTTTATTGTTCTTCTTCTTCTTCTTCTTCTTCTTCTTCTTCTTCTTCTTCTTCTTTTTCTTCTTCTTTTTCTTTTTTCATTATCGTTTGTTTTTGTTCTTGTTTCATTAATTATGGCCGTCGACAATTCGACATGGATTATTCATCTTCATCCCATACAGAGAAAGGTAATTAATTCATTGTTTATCTATTTTACGTATAAAATCTCTGCCAACGAAACCGTTCGATCAATTCGATTAATTAGACTAATAAATGTGGATGCACGAAACGGGACGAAGACTTTTTAATTTATTAAGCAATACGGATTATCGTGATGATTAGAAGCTGCTCGGCAATCGTTTCGTTAGCGCGAGAAAGAAGAAGGGAAAAAAGATAAATAAGCATAGAGTACGAGGTAGGACAGTGATGGTGGTGATGATAATTTGAATTTGAGTTTTGATGATTGAGGACGGATCGCGGTATTAAATGTCATAGGCCGAAGGGCCACTATGAAATGACAAGAGAGGAAGCCCTCGTTAATAACGAAATAAATACGACGGGAATAAACGAGCTGGCGAACGATAGCCTGAGAGCATCCGGGAGCCAAGCAGCACCGCTAACGCAAACGCAAACGAACGGAAATAAGCACCAAACAATGCCGAGGCCATAGGCCGCAAATCATCCCAATAAAATATCGTTCCTACCCTTTGGCAGAGATTTCGCTTACGTAGCGAGGGATCGTACCACGCGGAAGCACATGTGCCACGTGTTCCGTTGCGACATACCGGCCCGCACGATCGCCAACACGCTGCGTGACATCTGCAAGAAGATAATGATCGAGCGCTCGTTGCACCAGAGCCTGGCCAAACCCGTGGACGTGAACGGCCGAACGAGTCTCGCTGCGAGACCCACGAACCTGCCCACCGAGCACAGACGCTTCCATAAAAACGGCCAGGCCCTCGTCAGTAAGTAGAGGACCATCGACGCCAATTACCCGCCCGATCAAGCCCAAGTGTCGCTAAAGTCTCACGTGACGCGGGAGCGCGAGCATTCTATTCCTACGGTCACACTCCCACCAATCACACTCGACAATTCGAAATCTCAATTTTTTGCTGACCACCGAGTGCGGTGAAATCCATCCGACGGGTATGAGTATTAACGAGTCATGCGAACTTGAGATCGGGTCGTGCGGCGAACGAATTAATTTTGGAATAAACGGTCGATTGCCATTGCTCGTAAACGCGTTTGTAAAGTCGTCGTTAAAGCAAATGTTTTGCGCGAGGATCGACGTCTTTCTAACAATAATTTCCACTCCACGTTATGATATGTAGTTCGGCGAAAGTACAAAAACTCGCGTTGCATTTAATTAGCTCGATTATGTTATGGAGACGTGGCGAGTAATCGCAAATGAATTCGATGAAAGAGAAAAAGATGAGGTTGAGCGTTTGGCAATGGCAATGGCAATGGCAATGACAATGACAATGGTAACGACGATGACATTAAAATTTCGTTGATCGTTCGAGGTATAAAGGGAAGCGTAAATATTGCCGAGCAACATACTGTTATTCCGATGGCGACATCAATGTCTTCGTACAATTCTTGTAATTACGAACTATACAATCTACCACTAATGCGCCATTAATTTTTCAGCGCAATCCTTCCCAACGCCGATGGAGGAGCCAAAAAAGGTACTGCGAGCCCAGTATCTTGGATCGATGCAAGTATCCCAGGCAACGGGCATGGACGTCCTCAATTACGCTATAGACCAGATTGTCGGCAATACTCCCATCAACCAGTGGCGAAACGTTAATGTTGCCGTAGCGCCCAGCATGATTTCCATACTCACACCCAACGTAATAATATTATTTCATTCGTTTCTTCACGATTGCGCATAGCGTACAAAGGACGAAGAGCTTTTTCTTATTACCATATACTAATGCGTAAAATGGCATTGAGCGGAAAATTGCAAAAGCTCGTATCGAGAAAGCTCGTTGAAAGTTGAACGAGCAGCTTTCAATTATTTCGCATCCACTCACTGCTAATTACCTTTAACTTAACTTCTACTCATTGGGACATTAATTTATTGATATTATCTCGCTTCGTTTCTGTTTTTTCTTTCTTTATACTTATTTCGTTTTTTTCTTTCTTTCTTTCTTTCTTTTTTTCTTTTAGATCTCTGCAAAAATCAGGTTCGCGTTAATTATATCCAAAAATTTCATCAAATTTCTCATGGTCATTGTTATATTTGTTACTGCTATCGTCGTCGTCGTTATTTTTATATTACATTATTTTTACATTGTTTTTATTGGTTCGTTAGCTAACATTACGATTGCCACTTGGCACATAAATTTGAAATAACTCTAAACGAATGGAGCGACTCTCAATCGATAAAATAATGCACGAGTCACGACTTATCGGATGCCAGTTGATTTGAGCGCGAAAAAAATCATATTACGAATGACGGACGCTCGATTATAATTGATCGAGATGAAATCACTTGCATCGAGCGATCCAACGTCAACTTTAAAAAATACGATTCTTCCGTTCCAGGATGACAAGTTGATAACCGAGTGCCGAGTGCGCTACCTGTCGTTCCTCGGCATCGGCCAGAATGTCAAGCAGTGCGCCTTCATCATGCACACTGCCCAGGACCTTTTCATCGCCCATGTTTTCAATTGCGAACCCAGCAGCGGGGCCCTCTGCAAAACTATCGAGGCCGCGTGCAAGGTAGGCATCCCTATTATTAAACGCCGCACCCAACCATCCCCTTTCGACCTCAACCTCAAACCCGCCCAATCCCATCCTCGTAATCTAGGCTCTCGCGGATAAATAACTAATACCCGATCACCATCATCGATCGTGACAATGGCCTCTCCTGCCCCACCTCCATCCCCCAATCCATATTATTGGTTTTAACGTACGATTATCAAGCGTGGGAACATTGGACATGAACGCCTCGGCGATTAGACCAGTTGGAGCCGACTGGAGTCCGAGTTCCTCTATAATGTGCGCATTAAAGTCGAGCGCCATACGAATGAGAGTCCTGTGCTTTATTGTGGTTGCAGCTGAGGTACCAAAAGTGTCTGGACGCCCATCCCCCGGGTTTCCGGAACGCGAGCAGCGTTAATACACCGAGCAGTCGTGGCATCGGCGCCACCCTCAAGTCCTTCGTCGGCTCGATCACCGGCCGTAAGAGCAAGCAGAACGAGTCCTGAGACGAGGCTCTCTCGCTCCAGGTGTGTAACACGATGGACCTGCGAATCCTAAGTATAGGGATGTAACGGCGGGCCGGCTCGTCGAGTTTTTGAGATTTTGCCGTAGATTGATTGGGAAATGGGAGAAGCGGGAGCTCGCGGAGATAAGGATTAACGATAAACCTCGTGAGATTTGCAGCTTTGAGATTGCAGCTTCCGACATCACCATCAGACTCGCCTATGACGAGTCTATGTTGAGCGAGAGAAACGTGAACGGGGCCAAGCTTGGACCGCAGTCGCTTAACCATTAATCGAATAACCCAATGCACGGATTATTTCAATGATATGATCGGTCATTTCAAAAATAAACTCGGCCGCCATTGTTGACGATGTCAAAGATTCTAGGGTTCTGTATGTGCTCGGTTGACGCTGTAGCCACGGCAATTTGCTCGAGTACGACGGACGAGCGCGTCTCTTAGTTGCCAAACTCACCTGGAATTCATTAAACGATGAATTTAATTAACGTGGACGACTGTCGCGTGCTTCTCGTCGTTAAATTGACATTGTTTCCGAAGCCGTCGACTGCGCGGATTCGAATCGGTGGATAGAGAAAGTAGAGTGCGCGCGCGCGCGCGTGACAATTGATGTTTAATTTATAAGTGAATTTAAACGGCGTGTCGCGGCCGATATTATCGCGAGATAACAGAGTATAAAACGATGTATAATAATGACATTAAAGGAGATATTTCGTTTCGATCGATGTCTGGCTAATTGAATTTAAGTTTTAGCAATCGTCCGACAATATTTCTAATCAGCGCCGAAGCACTTAATCAATGTTAACAGTTTTAACGTTTGAGCACCATTAGTCTGACAATTCGAAATATTATTTTTTTTTGTTTTTTTTTGTTTTGTTTTTGTTTTGTTTTTTTGTTTTTTTGTTTTTTTGTTTTTTTTATTTTTTTTTTTTTAACGATTCCGCCTTTGTTTTCCATTAATATTGCATAATTTTGGATTTATTAAACATTACGTTCTTGAATTTTAATTGCTTCCGTGTTTTTTCTACTTTTTTTTCAAATTGTTTTTCTTTCTCTGCTTTTACTATTTCTTTTAATTTTCATATTCAACTAGTAGAATTTTGAACGTTTAATTCGATCAATATTTGATGAAAATTTGAAAATTTACATACGCACGTATACAATTTAAAAAAAAAAAAAAAAAAAAAAAAAAAAAAAAAAAAAAAAAAAAAAAAAAAATTATAAAAGATTTTTTTTTATAAAAGAACTATGTAATAGAGTTCCTTGTGCAATATTTTCTTTGTTTTAACTTACAAATTATGCATTTTCCGTGAATATTTCATTGTAGAAAAATTAAAATTTTTTAATTATTTCACTTGGACGATATTTTGACAATGAGCAAGGATAGTAAAGTTAAATAAGAAACTTTTATGAATAAAAAATATTACGAGAAAAAAGGGAAAATTTAACTATGTGTATTTAATTATTAATTTCAAATTTTCGTTCACTCAGTAAGGTTTTTTTTTTTGTTTGTTATTTTTTTTTTTTGTTTTGTTTATTTTGTTTTGTTGTTGTTGTTGTTGTTGTTGTTTTTTTCTTTTTTTTTTAATTGTATTTGAAAAACACTTCACAAAAGGTATACGTATATATGATTTTCATAAAATTTTTCAATTACTCGGAAAGCACATGTTTATTGAAAATTGAAATGAAACGACAATTGTGTTGAGAATTTTCAATTTCAATTTTATAACTGGTGACGCTTACTCCTGAGCATCTTGCAAAAATTTTCTCGAAATCGGTTATTCTTTAGAAAATATCTTTAAGAGCCGAATAGTTGTTCTATTTCATCTCGAGTTTTGTCAAAATATTGTACCGAGCATGTTATTATCAATAGAACATTTGCACCAATATGCTCCTACCAACGTCAAATAAAAAATTAAATGAAAGTTTGAATCGTCTGTAAAATAAATCCTGGGATAGTGATATATGAGAAATGAAAAAACTTGGCGAATGCCATATATCCAAAGCTCGATTCTAGCAACTTTCATTCGTGTTTTTCAATTTGGAAATTTTGTTTTTATCGGACTAGCGAGCACTAATGCACAAGCACAGATCATTTTTTCAAATCATATATATTAGACAAGAAAAGCCAAAGTTACTGAACTTGCATGGATTTTATCTGTATGGTGACCGATCCCAGGAACTCTGGCCACTACCTGCCGAGCGAGAGGTCATCAGACACAGGCATTTGCAATCTCCCCTGACCCTCGAGTACTTTGGAGGATCGCCGCCGAGTGCCTCGCTCAAATCCTTGCTCTCGCCCTCATTGGACACGAGGCGCATTCAGCTCGCTCGCTGGGAAAACAGCAAATCTTAAGAATCGCTCGCCTACACGTTGGTCCATACGACGACGGCTTGCGTCTAAAGGAATGAAGATAAAAATAGGGGAGGAGGAGGAGGAGGAGGAGCTGGCGGGGAGGGACTGTGGGTGGATGAATAGAGGGATGGTGGGGAGGGAGGGGAGGGAAGGGAGCATAGAGTGTTGGAGCAAGAAGAGAAGCGCGAAGGGGAAAGTGAGGGGGATAGATTGGTGGGGGGGGGGGGGGGCGCACGCGCGCGCGCGCGCGCGCGCGCGCGCGCGCGCGCGCGCGCGCGCGCGCGTGTGTGTGTGTGTGTCAGAGATGAAGAGAGAGAGAGAGAGAGAGAGAGAGAGAGAGAGTGTATGAGAATTGGAGAGGATGTGTGGGTGAGAAAGAAAGAGGGAGAGGGAGAGAGAGAGAGAGAGAGAGAGAGAGAGAGAGAATGGGATGATGGGAAAAGAGCGAGAGAAAGGACGAAGAAGATAAAGCAAGACGCATGTTTGTAGCTGAATTATATGAAGATGAACTATTGCGCTTACATGTTTCGTGTCGATGCATCAATGAAATCACGGTAAAATAAAATAAAATAAAATAAAATAGGCAATATCTTACCTATTTAATCCTACAGGAGGAAGTAAATAAAGTAAAATATAGAAACGAAACTATGCGTGTTTCTTGGCCCCTTCAATGATAATAAATGTACGATAAATGTACCGCCGCTCTGTAGAGAGAAAGTTTCTGTAAATATTTCAGACTGTACGAGAAAATCTTTGATTATATATCACGCTTCGGAAATTATGATAAAGCTCGCGACTTATCGAGGACGTTAAATTGAAAAACAAAACTGAGGAGAATTACGCATTTGAGACAAAGTTTAGTAAATGATGAACATATGAGACGAATAAAGAGGGAAATATGACAGCCTACAAAATATTTTAAAATTGCGTTGAGTTAATAGGGACTTTATTTTTTATGCTACGAGAGTAGATTGAGAAGATTAAATGAAAAGAAAAAAAATTTTAAATGAATATGAATTAAATGAAATAGAGTGACATTTTTAGAGCGCTCAGAAAGATGAGAGAGAATGAAAAAGACGTAATTCGAAATTTCCAACGTTATCTCGTTTCAAAGTTGTATGCTACGCAAAAGTAAATACTTATATACCCATATGAATGTTATACACACATGTGCGTATGCGTGTGCGTGCGCGTGTGTGCGCGAGTGCGTGTGTGTGTGTGCATGTGCGCATGTGTGCGTATATGACATGCATATAATAGACAAGACAAGTCAAATAAGAATGTATACTGTATCGAATGGATGCAAACTGTCCTTATGCGGGAGAAAAACTTAGGATTGACGAAAAGATGGAAACAATAGCGTGATCCCTTCTATTTCTTCCTATCTTTAAATACGTACATAAAATTAATGAAAATTACTATAGTATAAGAGACTCTTAAGTTTTTCGTTGCGCGTACAAAATAAAAATGTACGTGATACTGCACGTTTGCTACACTTAAGCACACTTTGTACTCGACTAAGAGAGAAAGACGTAAGTAAATAAATACTCATTGCTATTGTACATGCGCGCGCTCATACGTACACAACCAAACACAAACTCAAACACACACATACACATCTAAATACTACACGCTCTCTGTCTCCCCCCCCCCCCCCCCCTCTCTCTCTCTCTCTCTCTCTCTCTCTCAAACAGAAACACGAATATATTATCTCGGACATACATGTTTCTCTCGCTTTGAGTAAACAAAAAGAAATTAATATTTAAAATGGCATGAAAAACCAACCGTAATTGTCTCATTATAAACCGCGTTATTTCCAAAATTGGTTGTAATCTTAAAACTCAAACACTTTTGCAAATGCAAGTATCAATTAATATATATTTTAAGAATATTCTTTTAGAATTAGTAAATGTTACATCATTTAGCAATATATGAAGTACATTTTTTGAATATTTAGAAATTAATTTTTTATAATATCTGTGATAGATTATGTAATAAGTGAGCTTTTGTTTTTTAAACAATTTTATAATATATTGTTACTGGAAATAAAAAAAAAAAAATATTTATATATTACCATCGAATCATTTTGCAAGTATTCTTGTCAAGTTTTACAAATAATAAATGGAGGGAAAAAATTATAATAATAATAATAATAATAATAATAATAATAATATTAATAATAATAATAATAATATATAAACCTCGAGTATAAAAGGGAAAAATAAATAATGCAGCCTACGCAGGACGTCGAATTTACAAATAAAAAAAGAAGAAACTTAGGCGGGACTCGGATAGACGATTCCATAATCGGATAATTCTAGAGAGAGAAAAAACTAAGGATATAAGAGTGATAAATTCGAGTGCGAAAGATAATATAATGTATGAAGATGTTGGGTGAATGAAAGAGTAGAGAAAGCAGTAAACTATGAAAAATTTAATCGTCGTAAGAAAATTTTACACATTTTTGTTTTCTTTTTTATTTTCATTAAGATATTATTTAAAAAATTTTGCATAATACTTGCAAAAGCAAAGAGACTAAATCTATCGATATTCAATGAGCAGTCAACGTTTCCATAATTAAAGGAGATAAAAATTCTGTGCACGACGTAACGCGAAAGAATTATAATTAAGCCACAGAAGAACAATGATCCATGATTTTAAATAACGTGAAAACAGTTTCTCATCTTGTAAATAATATTTGACGTTCGGCCAGATGTAGCTTAAACGACTTATCTGTAAATACATATAATGATAACGCTATAAGTGTACACGGATACAGGATATCGATCTAATGTGGTGTTATGGTTAGCCAAGTCCCGTGTACCATTTAAAGCATGTCTAGCGCTTATAGATAAAAATATCAGAATAAATAAGAAAGTACCACTTGTACTTGAGTTATATCATCAAATAAGTATTAAAAATAAATCTCGACAGAAGAAGAACGTGTACTTATAAAACGTAGTTATCCGTACTCGGTCACACATCGACATAAGCACGCGCGCGGACATACGCAGACACAATAAAACGATACTTAGCCAAGCACACGGTTATACGTAATTATACTGATGAATAAATATTTTCATCCTACGAGCTTTAATGAAAGATATGGCGTACTATGTTGTTACGAGGTCGCGTCAGTTACTTCCATTATTATTTGGATTTGTAGAAAAAATTAAATTGACTGTTACAATGATTTTATCGGATAAGTCGAGGGAAAATTGCCGTGTTTTTAACGATGTTAAACATTTATCTGAGAATAATTGATTCCCATTCATTTTCAATATTATAGTGTAAGCTAATTTTTTTAAAAAGGACAAACCAACGGGATACTAAAATATATTTTTAAATGTCCGAATAAAGAAATGTCAGTTTTATTTTTACGTATTTTATTAGGAATTATTTTTAATATCACGAGAAGAAAATTATGAAATAATATCTTTATAAAAGAGTATCGATCTTCTTCTATTATGTTTCCTATGTTGATATGTGTGTATTCAATAATATAAAATAGTTAAAAAATTTCACGACCTAAATAGGAAAATCTACGTCGAAAGAAAGTTTGTTGTAATATTTTTCTTTATTGCTAATTACGATATTCTAGTCCTTCTCTTTCCATTAATTTATGTGTGCGTGTGTGCGTGCGAGTCTGCGTATGCCGATGTATGTATAAATTAATGGAATTATATATATTTATATATATGTATATATATATATATATATATATATATATATATATATATATATATCTTTATAAACTGTAATATCTTTTATATTGTAATGCTAAACTATCGATATGTTCATGTTCTATTTTTTTTTCTCTATAATATCAGAATATAACATTGTACTTTATTATATTATTTATTATCATGTTGTATTGAATGTGCAAAATAGAGCAGAGCTAAGACGAAGAAAGAACACAAGAACCATAAGCCAACACTCAATTGAATTATTAACATTCTATAAGCAAGAAAATTCACTAAAAGAAAGAAATAATACACTTTGGCACGCAATTAATTACACAAGTATAGCTTAAAATTGTCTCTATTTAAGCGTTCACGCGTGACAATTAAGCTAAAGAGAGAAAAATAATAGAAGGATAGCTGTTTTGAAAAGCAAAGTCTCTTAACACTGCAAACTAGCATTAACGACTCTATTGTATTTAATGTGAGATGTATATTATGTACTTTAATTGAAAATAAAGGACGAGAAAGCTGATACGATAGCGAAGAGTTGAACTGGACAAAAAACGCAATGCTTCATAATAATTATAATCTTTGCAAAATGAAATTATTGTACGGTAAACATATTAATCATTGAAAGCTTGCGAGTGGTTGTAGGACTGAGCATTTATTTCATAAAAAGCAAATCGAAGAAAATAAAAATACAAGAGAAGGAAAACACAATTTCTAGAAAAGAAATTATTTGAAGAGAGATGCAGTGATTTAATCCATAAGAATTTTATAGTCGAAATATTTGTTCACTACCACACTGCACTTATTATCAAACGGTTATCGGCTCATATTCGTTGGTGCAATTATAATTGTCACATACTTATCGACTATCATCGTCACGCACGTGATTGCCGCTATTTGAAATAAAGATAAATCAATTTCATCTCTCATCGTTGAAATGCTATTGTAATTGTTAAGTATTATCATCTCGTCATTGTCGCGTTAAGCTAAAATACTTGCGTTGCATCGTTGCTTTTTCATATATTTATATCAACCATATTACAAAACCTCTTGTTTCCTTCTATTTCACGTATTAATATTAATTTATTATTTCGATTAATATATGCAAGCATTCCTAAGTGTGCGTGCGGGCGTACATGTACACGCGCCCAGCATCTGCATATATGCGCGTACCTCTCTCTCTCTCTCTCTCTCTCTCTCTCTCTCTCTCCCTCTCTCTCTCTCTCTCTCTCTCCCCGTGTGCGCACATGTGCGTGCGTGTATGTATTTGTGTATGTGTATGTGTATGCGTAAGTATATATTGATCGAAATATATAAATGCATGGTCGACTCACCACCGAATAAAATTAAT